CTCTCTCTCTCTCTCTCTCTCTCTCTCTCTCTCTCTCTCTCTCTCTCTCTCTCGCGCGCGCGCGCGGGCGCGCGCTCTTTCTTCAGCATTGGCACTCGACTTTCTGGACTACCGGCCTGACCCCATTACTCACCACATGCGCCATGTATCTTTCCGTGTGCTAGTGGAAGATTCATTCTCATTTCACACATTAGATGAGTAGTGGAGCGGCCCTGTCGTCCACCCTGTGCAACTTCAAGTTTCGTCGCCATGCCCGGTTTCCATCTCCCTCGACTATCTCCCCTCCTTTTTGGATCTCCTCTCTACCTCAGCTTTCTCCCCAGTTTCTTCTGTCCCCAAACCTACGTCGCTGCGTCCACTCGGGTCTCTCATGTTTCCATCTCCCCTCGATCTTTCTTGCCTTCCTGCCCTTTTCCCCTGTTTCCATATCTCGTTTGGGTGGGCGCGTGTCGTTTGCCGCATTTTGATCACGCCTGTCTCCATCAACTTCGCCTCCCCTAACCACCGGTTTCCATGTGAATTGTGTCTCTCTCGTCTTTGTGCACGACTTCTTAGAACTGCTGTTGATATTTCGAAAAGCTTCCTCTTTCGTTCGTGGTGCTTTTACAATTGATTGATTGATTGACTGCATGTGATTTCAAAGAAACCCCCACCGGTTTCCATTTGAATCGCACCTCTACCATCTTTGTGTACGATGTCCAGAAGCTTCTTAGAACTGCTGTTGGCATTTCGAAAAGCTTCCTCTTTCGTCCGTGGTGCTTTTACGATTGATTGATTGATTGATTGATTGATTGATTGATTGATCGACTTCTTGTGATTTCAAAGAAACTCGTATGGTACTCTTTTTTTTTCTCCTTTTTTTTAAAGTCCGTACATTTCTGCAGATCTCGACATGTCTGGTGGTCCGGAAATGTCTGGAAGTCCGGGCATCCGGACGGAACCACACATGCGTCCGGTCACCGCTTAAGCGATGTCCCGGTCCGGGTCTGGCATAGTCATGGTTTAGAATTTAAGGTGTTCACTTTTCCTTTCTTTAGGGTACTCCTTTCATTTGCTCTTGCAGCTCCCTTTTTACTGTGCCTCTCATGTACAAGGCTCACCATGTTGATTGTGGTTGAGCGCGAGCTGCCCACATCCCCGTGTGCCACAATGTCCCACTTGCACACCATGAAAGGAGGTAGAGTAAAGGTGGAGGTATATTCCTGTTCATTTTTCCTCATGATTTCCTCAGATCTTCAGTCTATATTTTGTCTGTTCTCTTAAATTAAATGATGCATATTTGTATGCATTTGCAGCATTTACCAATGCTGCACAAGAAGAGGGAGGAAGGAAATGTGAGATGGAATTCTGACAAGGTTCTAAACAGTCACTGCTGGAGCAGACTACTCTAGAATGGCACGTAAGGCCAGTCAGTGTCTGGGTTGCATAACATTTTGAATTGAGCACCTATGGTAAGTAGCCGCCTCTACAGACCGTACAGGACCGGTTCGGGTGTGGACTGTGGTAGCACTGCAATGACTGCATCCAGTTCTTGCAGTTGCGGTTTCTGCATTGAATGGCATGGCATAGACAGATGTCACAGGCTACATGGCTCCTACATGCTAGGAACACAGAGGCATGCCGACCGCAATTGTAGAGGCATTGCTGTTCCAGCCCCTGTCTACATATAGGACATGACATGCCAGGGTGCTGTACATGAGTGCAGTATTTACTGTCATCATACGTATGAAGACAAAACCTCCATGGGCTATCCCTTCATAATCCTCACGGCAGAAGGCGTTGAACCACACGCTAGCTGATTCTCCGGTTGGTCATCATCGCAAAGCGGCGCTGAGAAGGTTTCTTGGGTTTCCTCAGTATTTATTCCCTCTTTATGGGCAGGCGACAACGGGGGTTGATCTAAAGCAAGGGTGTTTAGCTGCTGCAGGATTTGGTCTGCAACAGCTCACCCTGGTGGTAATATCCTATCAGTGCAGCACTCTAGGTGGTTCATATGGTAGTCTATTTTGAATTTTCCTCCGCAGGCTGCTCTCTCTCTGTGTGTGTGTGTGTGTGTGTGTGTGTGTGTGTGTGTGTGTGTGTGATGGAAAGTGTGCAGACAGCAACTTAGCTGACGTTGTGGAGGGTTGCATGGGGGCTGTGCGAGTTTGTATGGGGTTCTGTGGGTCGGCTCAGGCGTGCACAAAGCTGCTGATTGTGTCCAGCAAACGAGCTAAAAGCAAGTAACCGACGAGCAGATCATAGCAGAGCGATGGAGAAGTGGTCGGATGCTCCGAAAGGGAATGCAAAATCAGGCGAGAAGATCTTCAAGGTGAGCATGTGTTTCTGCCTCCTCTCCTTCCATTCATTCCTTCTTCCTCATCTTCCTCCTGCTCCTTGCCATTCGTGGCCCTCTCTAAACCCGGTGGTCTCAGCGCTCCGGCTTCAGTTTCAAGCCGGTTATGCCCCTTGGAATGATGGCGACACTCAAAGCCTCCTGCCGGCTTGCTGTTGGAAAGGGAGAAGGGAATCTCCAGCCTAAGAAGGTAGTCACCTTCTGTTTGTGCTTCTCTGTTTTTTACCATCTGCTACTTACGACTAATGCTTTTCTTTGATGGCCTTGAGATACCATCCCTGAACTGACAGGTCCCAGGTAATTTGTAATTATTCTTCAACTCAGGTCCATATTTCAACTGTCGCTGCGGTATGTATGGCGTTGTATGCACCCCGGCGAACTGGCAGAACGGCTTCCCCTCCACGCTTTCCACCTCTGATGACTGTGGCCACGGCGCTCACCCTTCGAAATGCAACCATCGGCCGAACCCTGGCCGGTGACGCCACCACGAGCGCCAACCCCGAATACAGGCCTCGCGCTCTGCGAGTATGAAGCTCATCGGCGATGGCATTGCACCTTCGACAGTAAGATGGAGCGCTGGAATGGAGATGACGACAACGTGCACGACTGAGGGGATTCACACGCGGGTCTCCTCCATATGCTAGCAGTGCGCCCCTGATCACTGCTGCATGGCTGGCCTACGTCCTCAGCCTGTCCGAATTCGAATTTGAAATCGGATGCTGTTTGAAAAAGTATGGGACTGCCAAGGTGAGACCCCCAGGGGCCCACATTGAAACCGTGCGACGGGAGACCGGTTGTCCGTGGGGACATGCAGGTCCAAAAACGGTTCCCTGCCACCGTCAGCTGGACCACACGCTCACGACCTCCAATGCCATTGGAGAACATGCCCCCCCCCCCCCTACTCAGCAGGCGGCCGTTCTTGGAAAAGGTCTGCAAGGATGACATCGGTTTCCAGGCCGCCGACCATGTAGAAACGACCCTGACACATTTCCTGCTACAACCTTCCACGCTCAATGGGGTCCAAAAGTGCTGTGGTTTTAAGGGACTTCTTTGTTTTGTTTTGTTTTTTTCATTGTAAAGGGACTTCTTGCAAATTGCAACCTATGGCGTTGGCCTCCCTGGGGATGCAAATGCTTTGTGATCTTCTGCATTCCTGTTAGCTGCTTGCTGTGGTTTTGAACCACCAGTACCTAGCCCAGCTACCGATGCCGAGCCTGAAAACGGGCTGCGCGCCGTTTCGCGCTGACCCGCCAGCGCAATTAAAAAAAATGTTTTGGCTGGCGGTGCCAGCCTTTGAGTGCCGGTACCCCGAGCCTCCGGAAGTTGCGGGGCGTTAACGACAACACCCAGCGGCCGATGTATGGGCCAAGTACTGGTGGTTCAAGCCTCAAGGGACTTCTTTGTGTGTGTGTGTTTTTGTTTGTTTGTTTTTGTTTGTTTGTTTTTGTTTTGTTTTTGTTTTTTTTTGGACCATTTCTCGATTTATGCGTGTCATCCTTGCGCAGGGGCCATGCTAATCTTATCTGTATCGTTCCAACTTTAACGGATGTCCCGAAGGACAACTTCTTTGTTTTTTAATTTTTTCTTTTTTAACGGACTTCTTGCACAGTGTTTTTTAACCTCTGGCGGGGCGGGCGGGGGGCGCGCATCAAAGGATTGGGATGGGCTTTCTGAACCACATGGGGCTAGGCTGGCCTAAGTCGGTCGAGATTCGGTCTGAGCCAGTGCACGGTGGTCGTTTGCGTGCTTTGTTGGTTGATGCAGACAAAGTGTGCGCAATGCCACGTGGCAGAGAAAGGTGGTGGTCATAAGCAAGGTGAGTGCGCCAACCTGCTGCTCGCATTCCTATTTAGGAAAATGGTGCCCAATTCCTGACATCCCTAACTTGACTTTGACACATTTTTGGCAAATTGGGGACTCATTTGGCAGAATTAAACCACCAGTACTTCTGAGTCTCTGTTTCCCGAGGCGCCAAACACTCTGAGACCTCTTGGCTCACCAAGAGAAAATGAGCGGGCACAAGAATCCTGTTGGTTGGCGCCGGCAGTTATTTTGCTTCGGCAGCCATTTTGCGACCCCCGAAAGTTGTGGTGTGCATGCAGCCGCATCTGAGAAAAATGGCCAGGAAACGTATTGGTGATTCAATAAAGCGTAAACCGATAGCAAAGCACAATATCCCTCGCGCAGATCACAGAGGGACTGAAAATCCTTGTGTCGGTGGTTCAAATCATTCACTTAGCTGCCTCTCTGTGCAGAGTGACCTTAACCCTCTCTGGCATTACTCTTCAATCTCTGCAGTGCCTCTCTGTGCAGGGTGGCCTACTGCAAGGAGAATGAGCAATAGCGAAATGACAGAATTCCAGATTGCAAAATCACATTGAAATTTGAAAACCAGAGAGTAGTAGGCTGTCCAGAAGTTAGAAATGCACTGATATCACACCGGAGGAGAACCAAAGCAGAGAACTCAATTGTCAATGTAAGCCCTCTCTCGCCACCATCAGCAATGTACTCGAAGCTCTTCCTCTTAGTGGCGCTCAGCGCCCAGACTACGATCATACAGCTGCTACTCTAGCCTATGTAAGCCCTCTCTCGCCACCATCAGCAATGTACTAGAAACTCTTCCTCTTAGTGGCACTCAGCGCCCAGACTATGATCATATACCTGCTACTCTAGCATATGTAAGCCCTCTCTCGCCACCATCAGCAATGTAATAGAAGCTCTTCCTCTTAGTGGCGCTCAGTGACCAGGCTACGATCATACAGCTGCTACTCTAGCCTACTAAATGACAAAGCAACCCATTGAAGTCGGCAGCAGCAACCAAGGTACATGCAGATGTTGACCATGCAGACGTCCGCCAGGACCAGGTACGTGCTCTTACATCTCCTCTGTCCTTCACTCTCTCAATGCCCACCCTCATCTTCTTCACCCACAGTCTCTCCCTGTCCAAAGACCACCGCCATACCCCGCCACCTATGTAAGCCCCAGGCCCGGCTATAGCTGCCTGGGCTATGGCGCTTCTTCCTTGCAGCACCCGCTCTTCAACCAGCACCCACGTGCGCTATCCAACACCACCGCCCGGCAGCCTTCACTACCCAACGCAGCAGCGCTGCCGCCAGACAACCACGTGCCCGAGTCCCCTCCTTGTAGCCAGGCTCTTTCCTATATGGAAAGCTGCCTGGCCTGTAGTCTGTCTGGCCTGGGACACGCTTGTGCCTCCTAGCTTCACGTCCGGCCAACGTGTCTGCGCCCAGGCCTATTCAGACAGTCGCCTGGGCCCCCAGCAATTAGGTGCGCCCATCCAACCACCACGCGCGCTGTGATGTGTTCCCTGCCTTCTGATTGGCCGAGAGGCAGACTTCCGCGTCGACGCAGGAAGATTGGCGCGTGGTAGCTGTCTGGCGCTCGACAGTTACCCTGGAAGGCTCATGGAATTTTCTGGTGCTAGCGAGCAGGGCACTTGTAACCAACTGGCGCGTGGTGACTGTCTGGCGCCCACAAGGCCTGCAAGTTGCTGTGTTAAGGCCTCGTTGGTGACCTTTTTCTTAGAAAGACCATCAGTTCAACCACAGTTTTGTCCTGGCTGTTGTGGTCAAGAGACTTGACTCCTGTGGCGGAGGGTGCCGGTTTGATTCAGTGGGTGCACGGATGGAGCTAGATCGAAAAACTGCAAGTTGCTGTGTCAAGAAGTACGGGTCCAAAAACTACTCGGTTTGAAGGTGCAAAGTTTCACGTCCCGGTTTCGGTTCTAGACCAAGTCGGGGTGATGGCCGTGGAATTTTGGTTTTGTGATTCCTTGAGAAATGGAAGAAGCCTCGGGCACTGGGCGCCTTTTGTTTTCTCAAGTTGCTCCCTTTTTTGAAGTTTTTTCTTCTTCTTCTTCTTTTTTTTTTTTTTTTTTTTTTTAAAAACGACTGACTTTCGAGACTTCCCTTTTCGCGTCCTACTTGACTGTGGCTAGGACCCAATTTGGGAGGTCTTTTTGGACGAAAGACGGGGCAAGCTGCAGGTTACTCGTACTCTGCAGGGAATAAGAGCAAAGGCATAGTCTGGTCAGAAGAGACACTTTACGAGTACTTGCTCAATCCAAAGAAGGTGACCAGATTCATTGACACTCATTCTCATACTCTATTTATTTATTTATTTATTTATTTATTTATTTATTTATTTTTAACTGCTCCAAATCTATTGGCGGGGAGCCTCACCTGTTGCAAACCAGGTCTACTGTAGCATCCCATCAAATCAAATATGAGCACCATTGCGAATAATATTTATAATTTTATATTTACAAGGCCGGGCAACATTAATTAGTATAATTATTAATTTATTAGTTAGTAATTAGTAATTACCCTTTGAACTTTGAAGATCATATGCATTCTTATACTATGCCACTTTTCTGCATTTGTAACCTCTTTTTTTTTTCTTTTTTTTTTCTTTTTTTTTTTTGTCCCACTTTGTACAAGTTTCAACTTTTTAATTTTCTGCATGCACTTTTCCTTCATCACATCCACATTCCGCCGAGAAAGTCCTCGCGTGATATTATTCCCTGAGTCTGTTTGTTCTCCAGCAGGCAACTGGCATTTCACCTTCCCCAGCTCCTTGCCTCCCCTTCCCCC